TTTGAGTCTACACCCGTGATAGCCAGCTATTTCGTTTTAATCATTATTATTACGTCCATCGTACATCCACAAATGACCGTATATGGTTCCAATCGGAAATGACCAACATAACATATGAATTATTGCAAACCGTCGCTGACAGAACCAAAGACATCTTAATACGGTACACGGGCAACATCTGGGAAAACTCAACAACCAGAATAATAGCGTATCCGAATTTACCGAGTAAAGGTGTGGGAAGTGGAGGACTCGCAATTTTCAGGTAATGCGCGCACTCGAAATATCACGGCAACATGATGATACATTTCCTCTCAACCTAAGAGGAAAATTTCACGTAGAGCGTGAAAAACATATTTGTAATATTAGGCGTACAAAAATACAAAATCGATTATCATCGAAATTAGTTTCAATGTACAGAGTTTTTATATGCCGTGTTGACAGTTATTCCGAATTATTGTAATACTTTTTATTTTAGTATTAAAGATGTAAACAAACTCTCAATCTTATCATTTTATTTGTAAACGTGATTTTCAGAGAAAGTGATCTTCTCTCCATATCAGAAATTCATTTTCCCGGTCGCGTAATCGAAATCTGGAAGATGATCGCACGCGAAATGGCACGACAGTATATCGAGATCTATGTCAGTCCAGCCGAATGGTCTCACGTGTGGTTCAGCAAAACACTTGGATTGTATTTCAGTTATAACATCCTTGAAGAGGTGATATATTTTTCCTTTACATTTCTCATTTATCGTTACGTATCGTAATGATAATAAAACGACGTTTTGCGCACGAAATAAAAAGAGAAGCTCGTGCGCGTCGTTGTGAGCGTAGTAAGTCATATTTAACATGTCTATCATATATATCAAGGTATCAAAAACAAAAGGCTAACATATAATTATTGCAAAGATATCAAGGATTTCAAGGAATAGGGCCGAAATTAAATTATTATATATCTCACTACAATATCACATCATCGCAATACTAATTTTATTGCGAAATTTTATTGCGATATTTCATTTTATTCTTAGCAATAACGAGATATGTATCGCCAAATTTAATATCTATTCCAATGTTAATATTTACAAATGTCAATTTTAGGGTTTCGGGGACAAAGAGCCGATAATGCAACATTTTGTAGTGCAGATTTTACAGCCTGCTCTTCATAACGATGACATTCTCAATGTACCTCCTGTCATACAAGAATATGATCAGATTTACTCTATTCTCATCTACAAGAAAGGTGAGAACGAGTAAATGATACAAAAAAATCCTAAATATATTGATTATTTAAAATTAGTAAGTGGGTCAAATCATATTGGCTGCACATAAATTCAACAATCGTTTGTAACTTGATCATTGCAAATAATACAAGACACGATTATTTAACGATTGGCTAATTTATTTTTGCGATTTATTATTTCATAAATTTATGAAATTGATTTTATTGCGATTCATATTGATTAATTCGAAACAATACGTCTGAAAATTTTCATATTAACTTTTACTTACAATATCGGCAGTAAATATTAAATAACGAAACCAAATACAAATATTGTTAAATTTCCTATTAAATTTATTTTTTTGTTATAATTTTTATTATTACTTGTACATTGTATCGTAGCGTCTGCATTAATAAAGATGATGGAAGATATCGTTACAAAGGAAGTGTTGGAGCAAGCCATTGCCGAATATGTAGAGACATAGTAAGTAATCCGATATAATACGATTATCCGTAATTTAGTGAAGTATAACAATTGAGACCTAATGATAAACTCTATTATCTAAGCGAACTACTGCGATAAATTACGATCAAAAATCGCAGTGCCATAATTTCGTTAACTTTCTGTAGATACAAATATTTTTGGATAAATAAGAAAGTAGATAAACGGGGTAATGAAAATAACTGATTACTTTGAATGCAAGATATCAAAGTTTTCGTACTCACGCGATCTATGTCACCAAAAAACGTCTTACTTGTACAGTGCTTATTGTACTGCTACACCGAATAACTTCTTGAAGATCGTGGACAGCAAAATGAATCGGTCAGAAGAAGCATATCAATGTAACATGACGAAATTCATGCACACCTGGCTGTCGAGAAGAAAATATCCCACGTTGCTGGTTACAAGACATTACGAGATTAACTATACGAACATTACATACAATGACACGGGACACACCTCTGATGAACAGGACAAATGGATGATACCGGTGACTTATGCTACGCAGAACGATCCTCGTTTCGATCAGGAAACTCCGGAATGGTGGCTGGACAGTAATAATACATCTCTTTATTCTACAGAACTTTTAAACGGCGAGACAGATGAGTGGATCCTATTGAACGTACAACATTCCGGTAAGTACCGGCAGTACGCAGAGAAGCCGATCATCCGGTTTCACGACAGGGGAAGATTATGAGATAACAATCGGTGGGACTGACTTTTTGCTTCGATAATAGGTTACTATCGCGTGAATTACGATGAGAGAAATTGGCTGAATATCGCGCATTTCCTAAATTATGGAGATCATCGAGAGATCCACGCCCTGAATCGCGCTCAGATCCTCGATGACGCGTATCATTTTTTAATGGACGACACAATGAATTACGACACCTACTCTGCCCTGATCGAGTACTTAAGGAAAGAGACTAACTTCGTGGTATGGCACTTTATGATGAACGTCTTGCAGTATATGTCACCTTTCTTCAAATTCGTAGAAGGCTGATACTTTAAGGTACGTAGAGGCAGGGAAAATAAAAACTCGGTAAAATAGCGCGTGAAATGTTTAACTGGCATAGAGACGGCTCTCTCAGATGTAAAACCTCAGAAATAAGACTTGCCTGAGAGATCAAAAGCACAGGGAATTAATATTACCAAGTGATTCTTTCAGGAGCGAATGTTGTGCACGATTCACGAGGTTATGACGCAGATCGGGTACGATGAAGACCCTGATGACGACGTCATAGACAGGACAAAGGTGCATGCTCTGCGAATGTTACTCCTCAAATGGTCCTGTTAACACGGTCATCCAGAATGCAGAAAGAATGCCAATTATAAACTGGCTACACATATCAATGACTCCAAGATATATCGGTAATTATTATCTCTCTAAATCAGGATTTGCTTTTGCAATTGTTAACTGATATGCTCTTTCTTGATCATATTTCCCGCACAAAGTTTCGAAAATCCATTTAATCGCGGCATGATCAGAAGTTGATTATTTGTCGCAATTTTACCCTTGTCTTTTCCTACAGAACTTTGCGGGAAGGAGGGACTGGACGTATTGCGCGGGCCTAACGAAGACGAACAAGACGGTATGGAATTAAGTACTACGTAGTATCGTAAACAGAAATGATTCTGAGATGCTGCAACACCTGGCCTGTAACGATAACGACGAAATGATCAAGGAGCTTTTGAAATCAATTATTATTGAACCTAGTAATGAATAGTTACGATTGGAGAGGGTGCATCTGAGAGAATTGTATCACGTCATTGTGAAGAAGCACGCGAGGAAGGATAAAGTGCTCGATTTTCTCTTGGAAAGTTCCAATCGTATATTTTCCCGGTAAAGTTTCGCTCTTTTTTATCTATTCTGTGTGCAACGTTCGTGTATATATTTGTCCACTTACGATGTCGTTTTGGTGTTGCAGTGACCTAAGTAGATTACAGGTATTAGTTGATATTATTATGAGTGTGCATTCCCGTTGCCAGTTAGACAAGGTTAAACTTCACAATATCGTGCTTCATATATCTATCTAAGCTCCTGTTGCCATTATTATTACCAATTATCTTTGTATATTTCATAATATATTGTCTTGACTTAATTATGCAAGAGATTAAGCAACTATGATGTAGTTTAACGGCAAGCTGTATTACTGTGATTTGTCACATAGTAACGATTTGTTGTAGATATGGAAATCGGTAAAGAAAAATCCCTTGGACGAGAAAAAATTAAATAAAATTAGAGAAATCATAGCATTGCGACTGAATCAAATCAACAAGCAAAAGGACGTGTTCGTACGTCGTTTTCCCTATCTTCGATATCCAGGAGAATGCTGATCAGCCGCACATAACAATTGTATGCGTGGCTTAATCCGAACAAATAAATTTTAATGTGGATTTTGATATTTGTAAAGTACCCGATTTTTTCTTATGTTATTTACCTTAGGATAAGTTAATTCCATTGTTTTAATCTTAGCTTGCCACATCCAGTCTAATAGACCGCTGAACATCTTTTGGTCTTCTAGTTTTCACATAGCGTGCTACTTTCTTTTTTTTTAATATCAGATGTCCGCTACAACAAACGAACAATATGTTTTCTTAAATTGCATTTGCAAAATTAGTTGAGAATTGTTTCCCAAAAACACTTTTTTTTCTTGTACCAATAAACTTTACTTAAACCCAACTAATTTTCTTGCACTGATATCAAACGTTTTATTCAGACTCAATACTTCCAATTCCTATATTACAAGCCTATTGCAAATATTACAATAAAAATGACAAGGCAACAAAGTCGATCCGTAGGACCGGAATATAGTAAATAAAAGGCTCGAAAATAAATGTGGCTAAGTTAATTTTCGCTTTATTATTATTCGATTAATCGTTTACGATCAAAGTAACAAACGTTGTATTTTGCCAATAATGGATGACGTTCACGATAACAGTTGCGTGAGAAATAATATTTGAAAAAGCACGGTTGTTTTATGGAACTATTGTGTTGTCATTGTCCTCGTATATCAATATACGAAGTTTCTTACGCTGACATATTTATAGACTTTCAATTTGCTCACCGGCGACACTTTGTTCGTAACGAGTACTGACGTTGCTGATTCAAAATGGTAAGAGTATGCTCTCACGAATATACCGAATTTCTAACGTTATTGATTAATTAAGTCGATTCATAATCGACTAATTCGATTTACAATTGTACATGTATGTGTGCATTTTGCCTTGTTCTTCCTCTGCGTCCAACAAGACATCGTTCTTACAGATGACCAAGATGAGAATTGGCGTGGCGTTGCTCACTCTGTTTTTACTAATTATTTATTTATTGAACGGCCTGACATTCACTATCGCAATTGAGATTGACACCAGCAAGCCTTCAAAAACCTGCACATTTGAAAATTTGAATTATAATTTACCGGGCAATGTAGTACCTCGAAATTACGAAATAAAGCTGGCAATAACGAACAAGTATGTCATTGAAGGGGAGACCATTATAGTCGTTGAAATAATTAGAACAACCGCGATGTTTGGTTTACACGCGGAAAACCTGATAATAGACTCCGAAACGATCAAGCTTGTGCAGAAAGCAAAGGTCAACAACACCGACGTGGTGCACATGCCGATGGCATATAGTTATTGCAAAGAATTTCAGATTTTGTTCCTGTCATTCATGCGGAAACTGCGTCCTGGGCATTATGTGCTATACATAAACTATAAAGGTGTCATAGAGGACAACCTAGACCTCGGCTGGACCAAATACGTGACCAAGGAAGAAGACGCGAAGTGAGTAACAAATAAGATACGAAAACAGAACTGTTTACGTTCGTAAACAACACCTTTCTTCACCGTTAACGAGCGCGATATATCGAAAAATTCGTATACAATCTGTAATTCCCTTAAATTAACAAATCTCGCAAATATACGCAAACCCTTCGTCCCTTTTTGTTTTTAATTATTAGTATCTAATTATTAGTACAAGTGTAATTTTATATTTCATGCAATTTGAGAGAGAGAGAGAGAGAGAGAGAGAGAGAGAGAGAGAAAGAGAGAGAGAGAATCATGTCTTTGTTAACGATTCGATCAAAATCGAGCTACTTTGATCAAGCAAACAAGTTTTTCGCGTATGGAAGATATAGCCTGAAAAATTTCAGACGCATCCAAAATTTAGTTCGCGAAAAATTTGTTTTTTATCGCTTTTGTCTTAAAAATCCATTGATATTTCGATGTTTTCGTTGAGGAAAAATAAATTCTAATTATTTAGAAAGTCTCTCGGTAAAATTACAGTCACGAGGCCTGAGATACTTCGTACACGCGTCAAAGAACGTAGATCGAATTATTTATTGAAACATTTTCACTGAAGAGATAATGTTGTAATTTATTGAAACATTTTGACATGCAATTTTTTGAAGTATTTTAACTGAAGAGATAAACATGTAACATTACTATTATTACACAGGCCGACAAAACATTTTACCAGAAACCGGAATATACTATCTCGAAGGTTTTTGATTCGCTGAATTCAAATCTGGATTCAGAAATGCTCGTTTGGCTCAGGTTTCCGAAATATTATAACCTAAATGTGCAAAAAACGCGATTTTAGCCTATATTTGAGGTCATGCAGCATGAAGAAAACTTTCTTTTTCAAAAAACCGTTCAAAGTATCTCAAAGTATAGGTCTCGATCTTTCAAATGCCGTTGAGTTTGCTCAAATATCTGTTTTTGTCAGCGATATATGCTATTTAAAAAATTTAAATTCATGCAATTTGAAATTTTAAAAATAGCATATATCGCTGACAAAAACAGATATTTGAGCAAACTCAACGGCATTTGAAAGATCGAGACCTATACTTTGAGATACTTTGAACAGTTTTTTGAAAAAGAAAGTTTTCTTCATGCTGCATGACCTCAAATATAGGCTAAAATCGCGTTTTTTGCACATTTAGGTTATAATATTTCGGAAACCTGAGCCAAACGAGCATTTTTGAGGCCAGATTTGAATTCAGCGTGTTAAAAACCTTCGGGATAGTATACTCCGGTTTCTGGTAAAATGTTTTTGTCAAATTTTGTCGGCCTGTGTTATTAAATGACGCTAACGTTGTCCGAAGTTTATCTACATCTTACGTATCGCGAATACCCGTTATTAGATATCCACGTGGCTTACAACAGTGGGAGCTTTTATCATTATTAAAATTCTGTCTTGGAAATGCGACTAGGTCATTCATAACGATACTGGAACCGACCGGAGCTCGACGCGTGTTTCCATGCTGGGATGAGCCGCGGTTCAAAGCAACCTTCAACATCTCTGTCATACATCCGCCTGGAATGCAGGTCTCTTCAAATATGCCGCAGCAGACGAAAAAGGTAGTGCAGGGTCACCAAATACAGAAGACCTTTATGCCCACACCCGTCATGTGCACTTATCTCGTGACAATCGTCATTTTCGAATATCTCGACGAATCCTTGCCAGATGGCGAAGAGTGGTTCAACTTGCACGTGAATGACGAAACGCGAAAACTCGTGCAAGAAATCGTTACGAAGATCGACAGTTACTTAATGTCATATACGCAGAGCACGTGGGGAAGACCAACCAAAATCGTTGTATATCCGAATCTCCCGAGGAAAGCCGTGGGAGGTTGGGGATTCGCAGTTTTCAGGTAATACCGCGCAATATCGGAATATTATGTATATATTGCGGCCTGGAGAGAAATTCCCTGTGATAATATTTCAATGTACATGCAGTGCAAGTTTCATTGAATTCTTATGAAATTCGTTTCATTTTACAACTTCTCTTAAAGTGAATAATTTTTCCAGGCTCTGAATTACAGTTAAATATTTGATGTCACTTTTAAATGCAATGTAGATTAATTCGTAATATTTTCATTATTTTGAATTATGAGTGATACAAACATGAGTTAAAAATATAAATGCTGGGAAATATACCTAATTCTGGACATTCTTATTGTTTTAAATATGGATATTTAAACTTTCAACATAGGATATATTCAATATATGCATATTCTATGTTGAAAGTTTAATCATTTGCATTTAAAGAAGCAAAGCAATAAGAATATCTACGTATCTTAGATACGTATCTTAGATACGTATCCAGGCATTGGAACTTTTAACTTATAACCAAGATCAATTTCAATGCGCAGAATTTGTTAAATACAGTTAAATACAGTATTGTAAATTATTCCGAATTATTTTGGTGCCTACAATTAATCTAAAGGCGTAAGATAATTCTCGAAATATCATTTTATTTGTAAACATAACTTTCAGAGAAAGTGATCTTCTATACGAGCGAAATATTAATTGTCCCGGTTTTTTAATCAATCTATGGATGACATTAACACATGGAATTACACAACAGTATATCGAAAGTTTTGTCAGCCCAACTCGATGGTCTCATCTGTGGCTCAATAGGGCACTCGAGCTGTACCTCAGTTACAATATCCTCGGAAAGGTGATTTTTTTCTATTCGATCTATCCAAGTTCCCAAGTTTTTCTACAATCCGCCAAGTTTAGCATCTTCTCTAATCTCCACGTTTACAACTCTTAATTTTAGCATTTCGGCGAGGAACAAATGATGGACCTTTTTGTAGTGCAGGTTCTACAGCCTGCTCGGCATAATGATATCGCTTTCAATGTACCACCTATCATACACGAAAATGATCCGTTTTACTCAACTCTCATTTACAAAAAAGGTGAGAACCTTAAATTTACGATATAAACGCAAGTATTTCTGTTGTTTAAAATGAATACGTAGGTAAAATCATTGTATAAATATAATTCAACAATTGTCCTTAACTTACCGAATGCAAATGATACAATTTGTTCACTCTGTGGTGATAAAGTTGGATGTGTAGCGGGGGTGTAGAATCTTAAGGGGAAGGTAAGGAGTTAGGGGTAGGTGGTTCAGAAAGTAGAAGAATCGGATGGAGCTGGAGATGGGTCTGGGGTTTAGGGTCAGGTGTCGGGAAACGCGAAAGTGGGTTAAAGTATCACGGTGGGGAAGCGGTGAAGCCCACGGGGACCGTGGAGGAGAATAATCTGGAGAGGATGGTATCTCGCCAGAGGGGCTTGATGGTTGATAGTTAGGACGAATTGGAAGGGGCGAGAGGGGAACGGTCTGGCGGTGACGAGGTATTCCCGTCTGAAAATAAGAGCTCGGGAAAGGCCCTAAGTTGTGCTGTTAGCGTGTCGTCGCTAGCCTCAAGAAGATCTCTATGTGCCAATGCAAAGGCCTCAAGCCTGTCCTCTCTACCTAGGATATTCACTACGGAGGGGTGTTAATGAATGAAGAGATTGAAGCTAATAAGGACGAGTATAAATTGTGCTAAATACTTACTCGCTGATTCGTGTAACCTTTTTGGATTTCTGAGCCTGGCTGTCGTCTCGTGACTCGGGTCGTCTGGATAGTAGGTGCACTCACAACGGTTAAATCAAAATATGGAGAGATTCTAATACTCGGACTGTTCATCGGAATATCGAGATAAATATCTTGTTAGAGAAATCCCAAGTTACACAGCAAGTTTTCACCAGAAGAACTAGTACTGGAGAGATCCCGATTCGGACAGCAAAAGGCGAAGTCGTAATGGAAGCCGTAATGACAAGGACGCAATAGAAGTCGAAAATGACAACACGCAACAGAAGTCGAAATGGCAAGTGAGCTTGTGGCAAGAGAGTGAGGCTTATATAGGGAAGATTTTTGGGGGTGGCGGATGACGATCGCTAATGAGAGGAGTTTTCGTGGAAAACGGATATGGAGGATTGGAAAACGGATACCCTGGAAAACTCCTAATATTATCAGGATGTCATAAACGATCCTAAGAATCTAATTCCATCAAAGAGCTAGAGTCCGGTTGACCATATATGAAGGCGGATAAGATGACCGAAAAAGATATATAGAAGATAAGATGACGCGTTGGGAAACAAGTGACGTATTTGGCGGCGTATAATTTTTAACGCTTGCCCAAATCCGTTTGTTTCTTTAATTATAAAAAGAAGGAATTCACTGCTCCCACGGTACCCAGAATATAATAAAACTACGTACCTTACGTGAAGGCGGAAAAGATGACAGACGCGTTGGGAAACACATGGCGCGTTTAACGGCGAGCCATCATAATCTTATCCTTTTTACAATAGCGCTTGCCCGAAGTCCGTTTGCTTCCCAATCATATAAAAAAAAAAGGAATTCGTTGTTCCCGAGGTACCCAGGACGTAACACTATTAACTTATAGAACTTATTGGTTAAATGAAAGAAATATTGTCAACCAACTTTCATTTACAATGTCGATAACGAATTAATAGCAATGCCGGCTACGAAATAACCATGCATGTATATTGTTGATCTTTTCTGTACATTTATCTATTATGCTATTTATAATCCACATTATTTTGTAGCATCCGCCATGATAAGGCTGTTGGGATATATCGTTACAAAGGGAGTGCTGCAGCAAGCCATTCTCGAGTATTTATCGACATAGTAAGTAATGCGTTATTATACTACATAATACGACCAATCGACATAATTCGATAAAGTTGAACAATCGAGAAGTAACGATGCGAAGTCCTTTGCATAATCGAATTTCTAAGTCAAATTATGATTCAATCAGATCGTATTATAAATCTCTCGTTTTCTTGGATAAATGGTTTAAGTGGTAAAAAATAGACGAACGAAGTAACGTAATTCGAATTCACGTAATTCGAATTCAAGCTACCAAGTTTTTTGCTAATTAGTTCGTTTATTAAATTACAAAAAAATATATTATTACTCGTACAGTACATATGGCTCCGCCACACCAAGTGATTTCTTCAAGATAGTAGATAATGAAACGTGTCGACAAACGAACAAATGCCATTTAAACACAACGAAAATAATGTCCATCTGGCTGTCCCGAAGATACTATCCTACATTGCTGGTTACACGAAATGACACTGTCAATATGACATACGTTATGTATCATGAAACACGCTCCCCCAATAAGACTGAATGGCCAGAAACTTGTGTTAAGCAGAACGCATTCTTTTTCGATCAGAATGTTCTTATATGGTGGCTGATTAACAATTCGTCGCGGACCTATAATTCTTGTCTAGCATTAATTTCGCGCGATCCAAACGACATAATATTCAGCGTACAACAATACGGTGAGTATCAGCAGTGCACACTAAAATAAAATTTTGTCAAAGTTAACTTCACTTGAAATTGATCGAAGGAAATAATTTCGTTATTTATTTGATTTGATTGTAAGAAATTTAGTTTGCGAAAAGTCCCGCTTTTTCGATCGATTGCGTGTTATTAGTTATTGATGCTTCGATGTTTCCCCTCAGCAAAAATTAATTCTAAATTGCTCAAAGAAACTCTTGGTAAAATTACAATCGCGAAGTCATCCTATATATTTACGGTTCTTAAGTGGAAAAGCTATTCGTTCAGTGAGAATGACTGATCTTTTGTTTCCACCACAGGCTACTATCGCGTGAACTACGATAGTAGGACTTGGTTGAAGATCGCGCATTTCCTAGATTACAACGATCATAAGGACATATATGTTTCGAATCGAGCTCAGATCCTCGATGATGCGTATCATTTGGTGATGGAAGACAAAATGAATATGTCAACCTACGTGTCCTTGACTACGTTCTTAAGGAAAGAGACTGATTTTACGGTGTGGCATTCTATGATGAACGTCTTGCAGTATATGTCACCTTTCTTTAAATTTCCAGAAAGTGAATATTTCAGGGTACGTAGTGTGACAGAGAGAGAGAGAGAGAGAGAGAGAGAGAGAGAGTAGCAAGAGAAGTCATTATTTATGTCGATTTTTCAATTATCAACATATCTATCATAACTGGGTTTCCAAATAAAATTTTGTCAAAATTAACTTCACTTGAGATTGATTGAAGGAAATAATTTCGTTATTTATTTGATCGTAAGAAGTTTAGTTTGCGAAAAGTCCCGCTTTTTCGATCGATTGCGTGTTATTAGTTATTGATGCTTCGATGTTTCCCCTCAGCAAAAATTAATTCTAAATTGCTCAAAGAAACTCTTGGTAAAATTACAATCGCGAAGTCATCCTATATATTTATGGTTCTTAAGTGTGAAACTGCAGAAATAGTAAGAACCTGACGTGTAAATAGTTTAGAAAAGTAATATTATCTAACAACGCTTCCAGAAACACATGCTGAAAGTAATCTTTAATGTTCTGTCGAGGATCAGACGTAACGAAGATGATAATGACAACGCTTCGTTGAAAGCTACGCGGTTATTACTCTTGGATTGGTCTTGTAAACATGGCAGTAACTCTTGCAGACAGCTCGCCAACGTTAAACTGGGCGCATACTTCGTCGATCCCAAGCAATATCCGTAATTATCCGAATAATCAGAGTGGAATTAATTAACGAATTATTAAAAAAATTTAATAAAAAATTTAAATGATTAATTAATCATTGTTGCGAAATTATTAATTAATTAATTTAATTAATTTAAATTTAAATTTTTTATTAAATGATTAATTAATCATTTAAATTTTTTATTAAATTTTTTTCAATTATTGACTAACATCCTCTTTGAGCGTACTTTCCGCGTAACGTTTCGTAAAATTATATCTAGTAGAGGCGGAACCTGAAAATGACTTTTGCAATTGTTCTTTTATCGTTTTCTTCGCGTCCCACATAGAATCTTACCGTGGTGGAAGGACTGGACGTATTGCGCGGGCTTAATGCAAACGAGCCACAAGATTTGGAATAACGTGCAGGATGAGATCTCGTACAAATATGATGATCCAAAAATGATGCAATACCTGGCCTGTAACGAAAACGATAACATGCTCAAGGAACTTTTGGTTTCGACCACGTTCCGGCAAAATAAATGGGCACGTTTGAAAGACTCGCAGCTTAAGGATTTATATCATACCATTGTGAAGAAGCACGCGAGAATGGATAGCATACTTGATTTTATCATAGAAAACTTCAATGTTATAAAGCTAGGGTAAAGTTGACCACTTTCTTTACTATGTCACCGTGAACGTGTATCCATTTAAAACGAACCTGTTTCTCCGATGTTGTAGTTATATGAGTAAACTCGAGAAATTGGCTAACATGATAATGAGCGTGTATTCCGAGCACCAACTTTACAAGGTAAATTTTACGATATTATTGATATTTCATGTTCTTAACGAGTATATTTCGAGTATTATAAGTATTATAAGTACTAGAAGTTATGAACTTTATACCACTGTATGTTTAAAACAAAATGATCAACAATCCTGAAATTTGTGTATATGATGTCTGCATATTATAGTCTCTAATACTTTATTCGTCAACTTTTCTAATTATACGAGCAATGAATTGAATAATATTCCAGTGTATATACAGTGAAAGCTTTATCGAATTTTTATCAAACTCATTTCATTTTACAATCTTCTTTAAAGTGAAATAACTTTTGATCCAGACTCTGAATTATTGTCAAACTTTTGGTGTCATTTTTAAATGGAATATAGATCAATTTGGATTTTTTAAAATAATTTTATCGTTATCCTGAGTTATAGGCAATACATCTTTAAGCAACGGCGAAGTTATTTGACGGCAATTTGAATTATTGCCACTTGTCATAAATTATTACAAATAGTAACTATTTTGTTTTAGATATACAAATACGTAAAAAATAATACTATCTGGGACAAGGAAACGTTGAACGTGACTGAACGTTTGTTAGCTACACGATTGATACAAATAAATATGCAGAAGGACGTATTCGTGCGTCGTTTGGGAAATAAGACGATGGTAAAGGAGCACTGATTAATCGGGCGTAAATTGTACGCATGTTCTAACTCATACAAATAAATTTTAATAATTAAATATAATTTGACTTTGAAATTTGCGAGGCACTCCATTTCCTTATTATTTACTTTAGAATAAGTTTGCTCCAATATTATAATTTTCGCTTAATTCGTGGTTGATCGCTGTCGAGCAAAGTGTAATGTAATTCTTCTGATAACACTCGATATTTATGTAAAGGTCGTATAAGACAAATAATTTTGAATTTAGAACAGAGCAAATGTTTGTTTGGAGTGTGTATCGATACAGAACATTTTTTGAGGTGAAATATTTATAGAGGTTCAAATTGCTCACCGAGCATTCTGTGTCTTTAACGACACAGAGTCCTGACGATTTGAAAAGGTAAGTGGAAGTAGCCGAGAATACATTAAAAATTATCATTTGAAATTATCGAATAATATTTAGAGATCTTTAAAGCTTCTATATATATCATATATAGGATTTTATAATTACTTTACGTGAGACACTACGTCTCTTGTTGTTTAGCTACGGCAGTGTGCTCCGTCGGAGTGACACCGTTGAACGAGGCACCGTGCCGCCGGAGTAGCGGCACTGAACGAAGCACTGCGCCGAAAAGTGCATGTTGCGCTTAGGTAAACTGGTGTTCGGACTTACATCTTTCGATGCAGCCTCGTCATTCTCCGGATCGTACGATTCTTTAAGTGTTATACAACAACATATTTGGAGATTTTGCAATTATTATCAATAAAAATATATTTAAAAATTAAAAATTACACTTTACAATAACAAACAACAAACACTTTCTAATAACAAATTAAAATTCTCAATAATTAAAACATCGCGTAAAAATAAAAACATCGCGGGTCTCATGGTCAAGTGGTATCACGCTGACGTCGTCTATAGGCGACGCTCGTACACACAGGTCGTTGCGCGGATGACGTCTATAGGCGACGCTCGTACACACAGGTCGTCGCGCGGATGTCAACTATAGACGACGCTCATACACACAGGTCGTCACGCGGATGTCGTCTATAGGCGACGCTCGTAGCGAAAGGGTTAAATTCAGCGCCCGTACAATTCACAACATGGCTGACAGTTACGTGATCGATGACCACTAACATCAAAGGAGCCGACAGCTATTGTCGCAATTGTATGTAGTTAAACTGTGACTATGTGGTGTACCGAGTGAATGAAGAAAGCACTTATGTTGTATCTCAGTTATTATATCGTCCAAGAGGTTGTACTTTTATATATCCTTCAGTATTAGTGACACGCAATTTTGCGCAATTGAAAGATGCTCGCACACAGCGTCAAGTTTATTTTCTCAAACTTGACGAATCTCTTTTCATGGGTAAAAAACAGAAAAACGGAAAAAAATAATTAAAGCAATGTGTATTCTTATATCTCGAATTTTGATTTTGATATATATTATATAGAATGCAATATCCTCTGGAGTCATTCGATAGGCCGTTTGTGCATTGATCATCGGCCATAGAAGATATTTAGGGAGATTGACGCATATAAGCAAAAATATGAACAAAGAAGAATAACACGTAACATGATGGGATCGTAGACAATTCGTGTTCATATCAAATCAGCTACATTCATTGGCATCTCGTCAATCTGCGTAGA